TCTGTTTGTAAAAAAAAAAAAAAAAAAAAAAAAAAAAAAAACAGATAACTAAGCCCAAATCCAAGCATCTGATGTAAGGGGAAAAAGCATACAAACTTCAGGTCTCAGCAAACTGAGGGCCGAGGGAAATCCCATTCAGCCAGAACAAAAACTACTGACCAGCCCTGAGCATCCAGGAGCTGGAACACATCCCATATCTGTGTGGGCAAACATGCACTACCTCAGGTCGGACCTTCATGGACTCTTCCCCAAATGACTTTGCTGAAAAAATACTAAGGCTCTGCTTTGGCTATTCTTCACTACAACCACGGGTACCTTTCCCTCGGTTATGAAATTACTTTATAATGCCTTCATCTAATTTAAAAACCTTTATTGCTAAATGTGGTCATTTGAGCCAACTGGCCTGCCTGAGCTGCTGCCAGTGCAGTTATTTCCTCTGGTATCCTGGGCGCCACAAAAGCAAAGCATCAGATGAGAAATTCTAAGACTTTCCCCTCCTCTTGTTTACACTGCCATTCAGAGCCCAGCTGATCTCAGGCACTCACTACAGAGTGCCATCTCTCTCCATTGTAATCCGCACCTGGCTTTCACAGAGGATATACTTAGTGTGGCTGTTCCAATTGTAATTGTGGACAAGCTCCATTTCTAGATTACTATTAGCAAATTCAAAGAGTTATAAAGATACTTTGGCTTACTTATATTGCAAAGAGAATGAGTCATTTAAAGTAGGGAATGCTTTAGGATGAACTTGCAAATTAATTGGAGCTTATTTTGGAATGTGAATTGAGATGACTATATTTAGTTGTTTGCATTTACATGTACAAATTTTCAGAGATACTATAGTATACTACCTTAAAATAAGTTAACGCAAAAAGCATGTTCTTACACAATTCATCACTCCGGATGCTCATGGGGTCTCGAAGAAAACATTAGGAATTTTGTTTTCTATTTCTAACAATAGTAATGCTGACAAAATTTATTGGTTCATCAAATGTTATAGTATAAGTATATGAATTTATTTTTAATAAATTATCATTTTTGCATATATCAGTCAAACCACAAGGCCTAAATACTTGCAAACAAATGCATTATTAATTTAATTGTCACAGCCTATTTAGCTAACTTCTATTACTATTTGCTATAATATGCAATGCATTGGAGGGGAGAATCAAATTCAAAACACACAAAAAATAAACTGATTATACTGTCTTGAAAAAAATTAAAATATAGCAAGCTTGCAAAATTACAGCCAAGGCATTAATGTTTTAAATAGAAAAAATAAAATAAAATAAAGGTTTAACTTAATTTAGAGAACAGTTATGCCCAGAGTGATGGTTCAGCATGCTGATGAATAGTTTCTTTGCCTTCTAAAACCACTAAGAGAGAGAGGGAAGTGTAATTGGAAGGCAGGGACCTTGGGCACTTCCTGTGCTAGATTATGGCACTGAAATCCTAGCCTCCTCTGCTCACAAATATCTCTTGGAAAACTATATTATGTTACAATCCTGGCATTCCAAGTGTTCTATGTAGTGAGGGAGAGTACCATATAAACAGAGAATCCAAAGAAGTTTTCTAAAAAAAAAATTTTTTTTCATTAATTAATGAAAGAGAAAAGCAAAGGGAACCTGAAATGTGGGTAAAAAGGAGGCATCTGTGATAACCAGCCCTGGGACACGGCGGGCGTCTGTGTCTCTGTAACACGAAGCGAAGGAAAACACTATGCCTCGGCCCCAAATTAAGTTACTTGTAAATAGAGAAAACACTGATAAAGAGATTTTAAAGTTGGGGGGGGAGGAAGGCTACTAAGCACTGACGAATATGGCTGATGAGGCCTGAGGCTTCAGGGCAGTATAAGGAAGGGCATCACTATGAATGCCTTAACAGAGCACCGCAAACCGAGCATTTCCAGAGTTGCTGTGCAACTGAGGGGCCTGTCTGGCAGGACGGGAGGGGTGCGGAAACTCTATCTTGTCTTTCAGGAAGGTGCCCGTGCACACACCAGTACAAAGTGAGCTGTGAGTTTGAAAGATTTAAAAACTTCAGAAGTGGCCATGCTCACCTGGTAGCTGACATTGCTACATTTCAGTTCACCTAATATAATTAAGTGTGTGTGACGAAGGTAATTATGATACGGTAGCAAGAAAGAAGAAAACCTGGCAGTTGATGACAAAGTAATTGTAGTGTTATTTTTCATGACATGGCAACTGTAGTATTATTTTGGGGATGACACAAGATGTATTTCTCCTTTAATATCAGCAATGTACAAATCTACATTAAGAATTCAAAAATCTTATTGAAAATAACATCAACATAAAAATACTAATGAGAATAGTGTTCAGTTTTACATATTTACTTGTGCATATTCTAATGCACTTCCCCAGGTCAATTCTCTCCAACCGAACTCTTCTACTGCTTGCCAGTTGTTTCATAAATTCGAAGTTCCCAAAATCCTTTCAAATGTTTCCAGACTAACATTTTTATATTAAAATATGACATTAAATTTCTGGAGATGGATGGCATAAAATGATACTCAACAACAGTGTGCCACAAAGGCAAAATGTAATAAACTCACAGATAAAAATTACAGAAATCATCTCATAAAACAAAGCCTAAAATGAAAATATTTTAATGTGAAAAAAACAGTGAATGATGATTACCTTTCTTTTGGGGTGCCGACTCCATGCTTGCCCAGCAGATGAGTATTTAGGTGCTTCTTCATTACAAAAGCAACCCTAAAAAATAAATAAAAGTAATTATAAAATTTAAAAATGGCTCTCTGCTAGAAATTTATACCAAAGTATATAAAAATGACAAGCATGAATATAGAGATGTAACACAAAAATGTGTATTACCATGATACTCCTGTAAAATAGAAAGCCTGTACAGAGACTAGACACACCGTAATGTTGGAAAAGTCAAAGAAATAATGGACTCGGACTTGATTCAGTCATTTTCTTCTTTGGGTTTGCCATTAGTGACCAAAAATGAAAGCAATGATTCGAATGTCTGTTTTCACTGTCTCCACTGCCAGTTCAGAAGATGAAGCAGCACCTCAGCAAAAAACCCATGCCCCTCACCCATCACACACCTCAACCAGGGAACGAGTTTGAAAAATGTCATTTTATTTAATATTTAAAAGACTATAAAAGAGAACATGAATAGCTTTCAGAAAGTTTCCTTAAAAACATAGCAATAATTTGAAGAGATGTTTTTAAAAATGATATAAATGCTTACTGTGTCTGCAACTTGCATGTGCGTGCGCACACACACACACACAAATCACACTGAAGTGCCAAGAAGGTGTCAGCTGAAACAAACACAGATTACTGCCTGACATACTCCTTAATGTTACATACAACTCAGCTTACTTAGTTCAGTTTAGTGGGCACAGATGTGAACCGGACAGGAATCAGCAGCCAGTACATACACACCATTCTTCCACTGAGCACAGCACATCAATTTAATTACATCATGTGATTATTTAAAACAATTTAGATCTCATTCAGAACCATCAGACTAAAATGACTCTCTTGATAAGTGAAAAAAGAAAATTTACTGTTGTAACTTTTAGTGTAAAAGGGCTTGCAAACATTTTCGTTAATTATGTATTACAGCTGTCCTTCATAAAGTTAATTACTAATAGCTGAAAGGCAACAGAATCTATTTGCATATGTACATGAAAGGCATGACATATGCAAAAATATGATTTTAATTAGCATTCTATGATATGAGGGGCTACAAATCAAATTGGCATGTTATAAGATTCCTAACATTAAACACTGAATTCATCTGGACACGTCTGCCAATGGGCAAGGGGGGACTGCAAAGCACTGGGCCTCATGGAGACACTCCCGACAAAAGCCAAGAGCACAACAGTTCCTGAAAATGTAAATGCTTTTTTTCTTTTCACATCCGGCTTATTTTGTTTGTTTTCATGTAATATCGGTACACCTCAGCTTTAAAGCCAAAATGATATACTTGAAGCTTCCATTTTCTTAAATGACGGTGACTCCAATATTCAAATAACACTCTTATATAGACTGATAATTACCTTTGTTTTCTTTTATATATTAGGTAATAAGAACTATGGACAATACACACTTTATAACTCTAAATAAGTGGTCACACCATTAATCATCAAGATGGAAAGATAATTATCACATAGAAAAGATCAAACTGTGATCGTATTAAATGCTGAGCAAAGAAATAACAGTACAAGATATTCTATATTTGTTTCTGCTTGATTTGGACAAAATAAATAACATCTTTCATTTCCTTAAAAAAATACAGTACAGTAATAACAGTGGTCCATTTAAGTCATAACTCCCCTACTGTCCTCCATTTTACTATAATTAAAAAAACATAAAGCTAATAGCAAAGAGTAAAGGTTAAAGCCCAAAGTTGCACAGCACAGCTTATTTACATGACCAGGAATAATTTAAGAGACCTGAACTTAGAAACCACAGTGCAGTTTTAAATAGGAAAAAATTTTATTAATTAAAATATTTAAGTTTCAGAATTGTAGCAGAAATATTACACTGCACAAGGGGACACCTAAAGTAAATAGGGAGGGAGCATTTATCTAACAAAACAGTCTGACATCTGCTGAGTATCTCTAATGCTAAATATGTAGAGGAATAACAATTTTTTATTATTCTGGAGGAAAAACAATGGGAAAAGTTTATAATAACAAAATACAGTTCAATGAAGTTCAAACGTAAAATATTTTTGCATCCAAAATTTCACTAACATAAAAAATAAATAAAACTATTTCCTTCACCTTAAATCATATGTGCATTTAACTCACATATGTATTAATGTGTACTAACAATCTCTTATTACACAAGGAACAGTTTCAGGCAGGTGTGGTGCATGGATGAACAAAACAAATAAAAGTCCCTAACCTTAGAAAATGTAAAAAGTGGCGAGGGGGACAGACAAGGAAAAAAAAAGTAAAATGTACTGCATATTAGTAATAAGTGGTGGTTGAAAAACTAAAACAGAGAAGGAAGACAGGAAATATTGGTAAGGAGTTGAATTCTACACTTGGGTGGTTCACGCATGAGACTTGTGAGTAAAGAGGACTGGGCCAGGTAGGTGGGGCATGAGTTACACACTGCTCAAGCCATGCTGGATCCATAGGGAAGAGGGAGGGTTCAGGTCCCTAGATCTCCCTGTACACACCAGTCACACAGGTGCGTCATCTTGGCTGGATGGGAAGGTTTAGGGGAGAGTACAGTGTGAGAAACCAAAAAAACGATACCGTGATTACAGAGAATTAGATGTGAAAAGAGATGTGTTGAGGGTGCTTCTTTCCTTCCCCATCACCTCATTCTCATGGAAAATAAATAAATAAATGTATATATGTGTGTGTGTGTGTGTGTGTGTGTGTGTGTATTTTTGTTTGTTTGTTTAATGAAAATACAAAAGGAGAGGGGAAGGGTGAAGGTGTTTGGCATGCAAATAAGTAACAGCAACCCCAGCAGAAGAAAATGTGACTACAGAAACTGAGGCCCAGGTCACACAGCAGTGAACAGGTACCACAGAGTTGGAGCATAATCAAAGATGAAGTCCCAGCAGGTCAGAGAGGGGAGGGCTGGGCAGATACAAGTAAGAAGGAAAACCAAGGCAGGTCTCTGAAAACAGTGGTGTAATCAACCAAAAGGCAGCAAGGTCGGCTGGCAAAGGCTTCTTTGCACATAGGTGTGTGTGTGTGTGTGTGCGCATGCATGCCCAAAAATCCCAAGAGGAGAATGGAGGAGATGGAACTGTGGCATGTCCATCTCCCTGGGGAAAGGGATTTCTTGCTTTCTCTTTTACTGTCTCTCTGTGTCTCTATGGCTAGCATATGCACCATATGGCAAAAATATGAAAAGAAAACGAAGAAAAACGGATCTTTTTGCCATTTTGTTTAATGTGTTTTTTTTTCAGTTAATAAAGTATTATCATTCTGAAAATAACCTTAAATTCATCATTTTAGTTTTACAAGTTAATTTCAATGATAATAGTACACTTAGACGAATTCATGCACTCTGTGTGTTTCTCCAAGTAACTCCACAAAAGATCAAGAGCCAGTGCCGTAGGTCCATATCCTAGTCCGGGACACTCACGATCGTCGGGTTCTACAGCAAGTGGCACGAGCCTGCAGACTGCCACGGGTGGCAAACTCTTGACTTTTAGAACGAAAGAAAACTTATTTGTGTGAACTGACAAATATGTAAAAAAACTATGTGGCAATGTCTGCTTAGATTTTTAAATAGTGTACTCACGGCTGACACTAAAGTATTTGGTCATAAGGACATGACTCACTGAAGGAAATCAAACACAAATAATTTGAATAAACATCTAATGGCTATTTGTATAATGTGGGTAAACTATCATCAAAAACAGTTTCAGATGATACAAATACTGTGCTGACACTGAAGAACATAACATCAATGGTGTAAGAAACAGTATATGATGTGGACATGTGACAAACTAGGCTAAAAATTTTAAAATCTAAAAAGAACAAAAAGCCCTCAGCGAAAATCTGTGGAGGAGAGAAAATAATCGTATAAAAAGTTAATACCAAAATTACTTAATTTTTATATATTTTATTTCAGTTTTATTTGTATTTTGTTAACTTATTTTTCTTAGTTTTCTTACTTTCGAAACTTTAATATTTAAAAAAAGTGGAAAAGTCAATACATAAAATATGTGTATACACTTAAATGGGATTCACTGTTAAGGTTCTGTGACATTTTCTTGCTGGTTATCTATCTCACTAAAAATGTAGCATCAGTTCTTTTACTCTGCATTAAGACTCAGAACGTGAGTTACAGAGAGGATACTGTTCCCACGACGCCTGAGCACATGTCCTAAAAGACAGATATTCTCCTGCCCCGCGCACACTGCCATCACTCACAAATCAATGTAGACTCAACATCTCCAAAGTAGTCTATCTCTAAATCCTCCAATCATCCCCAAAATGTCTTTACTAGCTAAAAACAAAACTTTAAGCCAGGTACTATAGTTCAGATGTTCCCCCAACGTGTTGGGACATGAATATAGAACAGTCACAGTGTCCCAGGGGCCCTCTGTGGTGTACAAACTCACAAGGGCATGACGCCTACACCCCGCCCCTACGTGTCTGAGTTCTGGTGGGTTTACAACCAGAGGGAAGGAGACTAGAACAAGAGAGGACACCATGGATGCAGACCATGCCCTGCTCTGCTGAGTGCCCTGCCTTTCACCATCTCATGGTGCATCCAGATTATTCCAGTCAACAGAATCCTGAATTTGAAACAAACAAACAAACAAACAAACAAACAAACAAACAAAAAAACCTCTCTATTTTCTTTACAAATTACCCAGTCTCGGATATTCCACTAGTAACAACAATAAGAGATCAATACCAGGGTCCAAAAAAATGTACTCTCTGGGGCCAGTCTGTGGCATGGTGTGTTAAGTCAACACCACATGGATAACTGGGCGCTTGTGCCTGGAAACCAGTGGCTTGAAAAATACATGAATATTTAAAAACACACAAATGCCCAAAGTCTTCCCTCTCATCTCATTACCTTCCAAGAGCACTTTATGTGAACTACTGGATATCCATTTTATATAAACTACTGGATATCCACTTTATATGAACTACTGGATATCCACTTTAATACCTTATTTTATAACAGATTGCCATAACTATGCTTTGTCACATTCCCAGTAGCCCCCAAATTGGCCGATGCAGATCCTT